GGCGGTAACGGCCTGGCGGAGCGTTCTCCGGCGGCTGGGGCGAGCGGGCACCCGTCTCCCGGGCACCCCCCAGTATCCCCGTATTGTTTCTCCGCAGCAAGACCAAGGAGAAAAGGAGAACCCCATGCGGGAGCTGCGCATCCGCAAGCTCTGCCTCAACATCTGCGTGGGGGAGAGCGGGGACAGGCTCACCCGAGCGGCCAAAGTGCTGGAGCAGCTGACGGGACAGACCCCCGTCTTCTCCAAAGGTGAGGGGAGGGTTCTCCTGCCGAGGGGGGGCTGCGTGTCCTGGGGGTTGCAAAGGAGCAGTTTGGGGTTCGGCTGCAGCGGTGGTTGTTTTCCTTCCTCTCCTGAGGGTGCGGAGGGTGAAGTGGTCGTGCGGCTCCCAGGGGAGCGGGGAGCTCTGCTCTGATGTGGGCCTTGTTGTGAGAATCGGGGGCCTTCAATATCGGGGTGCTGGTGGGCATTTCTGTCAGGTCAGTTCTGCCTCCAGACATGGGTTGCTGCTCTGCCCTCATCCCCAAAGAAAGAACATACGGTTGCTTTAGTTCTTTTTTCTTTCTTTTAAATTATTTTTTCATCTCAAACCAGCTCTAACCCCCCTGGGTGGGAGCTCTTTGAATAGCTTTTAAGTGTAATTATTGCTGCCTACAGCACGATACACTGTAAGATCCTTCGGAATCAGGAGAAATGAGAAGATTGCTGTTCATTGCACAGTTCGTGGGGCCAAAGCAGAGGAGATTCTGGAGAAAGGGTTGAAGGTGAGAATCTGGCTGGTCTGGATCTTTGATTTGTGGAAGAACAAAATTTAATCTGTACCAGCTGAAAAGCTGTGTGCTTTGAAATGTTGCACCTGATTTAGTTACAAGTCAGTTGTGGGTGTTAAGGGTTGGAGGAGAAGCTTTGTCCAGTACACAGGCTGCTGTGTTTGCACTGCTTCTCTGTCTGGTTGATGCTTTATCCTTCTTTAAGAGCTAGTGGGTGCAGGTGCTGCTTTTTCTTGTTTTTATCTTTGCTGTGATTTATGAGCAGCCTCTGGGAGCAAAATCTTAGAGCTACTAAAGATTTTGTTGCATGTAAGTTGTGGGTCTGGTGGCAGCTGGAACACACAGGACTTCTTATTCTGTTTGCAGCCAATAATGAAATAGTGACTGACAACAAATGTTTCAGGTGCGAGAATATGAGTTGAGAAAAAACAACTTCTCAGACACTGGGAACTTTGGCTTTGGAATCCAGGAGCACATCGATCTGGGGATTAAATACGATCCCAGTATTGGTATCTACGGCTTGGACTTTTACGTGGTGCGTATTCCCTGCTTCCGTGCAGCTCCTGGGCTTGTGTGAAAGCTCTGGAAGGAGCCTAGAACGATACTTGGCTGGGTTATCAATGAACACGTGGCCAAGTGCTGGAAAATAGAGAAAAGTCAACAAAATCCAATCTAAACTGAGATTCCCAAGGCTTTATAAAGTCCCTGATATATGACATGGCTCACAAAGCCTCTTCAGAAACAGATCTTACTTGTACTTCTTGGGATAACACCAGAACAGCTGTGCCAGGTGTGGGGAAGGAAAGAGCAGCAGTGGGAAGTGCAGCAGGACCTTCAGGAATGCTGACAAAGATGGGCTGCAGTGCTGGAAGATTCTGCATCTAGAGGGCTGGGGTTGGGTCATGTAACAGTGGTGGTGGCTGGTGTGTGTGACTCGTTCCATTCTGCTGTGCCTCACGCTGAGTCTGAAATAGAGGGAAGCTGTTCCGTCCGTGTTAGCGATGCTCTTCAGTGTATCTCTTCTCAAGAGCTGAAGCCTCTGAGTATGGCATGGTGCATCTTCCATGCTCATTTTTTGACTTCTGAGTCAGTGTACATGCTCAGGTGTCCAATCTAGGGGCTGTCCCTGTCGGTTTACCTGGCTGCACAGAAATTACTTAGCTCTCAGTTTACACTGAGGTAGTAGAACACTCAATCGTGAACATGACTCAATGAGAGGTTACTGATGTGGAAATTTTAGCCCTCCCTCCTAGAAGACTCTTTAGGAGAAATAAATAAATGCCAGAATGAAATAGCGCTGTGGGTCTCCTCTCCTGGCAGGTGCTGGGCAGGCCTGGCTTCAGTATTGCTGACAAGAAACGCAGGACTGGCAACATTGGAGCCAAGCACAGAATTGGAAAGGAAGAAGCCATGCGCTGGTTTCAGCAAAAGGTAAAGTCCACCTTTATTTTTGTATTCCAGGAGTTTTCTAGCAAGTATCAGCAAAATGCTGCACTGTGAAAGGGGTGGAACAAGTCACTGGGCAGGAGGAGATCTTGATCACTGCTTATACCATTAATTTTTACTGTTCTGGGGCACTAGAATATGGTTCATGCCCCTTTTTTGTGTGCTGAACTGAAAGAGCAGCTCTTGCAGGATAACTGGAAGCATCAGCCCTTTGTAAATCTGCCTCCCACAGTTTTTGGAGGTGGTGTGTGTATGTGGATCACAGGTGACAAGGCAGGGTTAGGATTTGTTTATCTGATGCAGCTCCTGGCTCAGCTGCCAGACTTGGAGGATGGAACGGTCCAAAATAAAACCAATTACTCGGTGTATCTGTCCGTAGTGTTCTCTGACACAGATAATGAATGGGAGATGCTGAAAGCTTGATTGGAAATGCTCAGAGATGAGACTACTCATACTTTTTCAGAGGTGGAAAGGGTGGACAGTCTGTCTGGAGGCTCTTTACTGGCTACTCTGCCTAGATTACACAGGTCATACCCTGTGCAGGGCAGGCTCCAGCCAACTCCTGCTGAATGTTTTGTTTTTGTTTTTTTTTTCCTCCCTCATGCTAGTTCTGCTTGCTGTGGCAGAGTTACATCCAGGGACCAAATCCTGGGACTGGAAAAGGGAGTGTAGGCTGGATCAACCTGTGAAGGGTGGGTTAGCTTGTTCAGCTGAGCAGAGTTTAATGCCCCCCTTGGAGGTTAACAGCACAGCAGCGAGGTTGAAAGGCTGCAGGAGAACTGGTGTTCCATTTGACTGTTGTCTGGGGGGCTTGGAATGGACAGGGTGGCTCAGTTTTCACCACAGTGGTACTGCACCTTTTCCTGACAGTGCTTTCTCACTTGGTTCTTTTTTTTTTTTTTCCTCACAGTATGATGGCATCATCCTTCCTGGTAAATGAGAAGTTCCTGTTACCAAAAAAACAAATAAAATTTTCTAATCCCTAACTTCTGTTGCAAATTTTGTGGCTGCTCCTCCTGACCTGGGAAGGTGCTGGGAGCAGAAAGCCATGGACTGGTGCTGTGCACTTGAAGAGAACGCGCCTGTTCTCCAGAAGCGAGTGTTGGATTTACATGGATACACTCTCCACTTCTGTACTGTCCAACAGCATAAATAATATGTAGAATTTTTACTAAAGTCTGCAGATGGACATAGAAGGGGAAAAAAAACCCAAAAACCACTTTTGACCAATGGAGTTGTAGAGCAGAATTTCTGGAGGGTTAATTGCCAGAGGGAACTAAGTGTGTCAGTGTGCTGGTCCTGATCCTCTGCAGATCAACCTGCTGTCTTAGGGCTGCCTGCTCTTTAGTAAACCAGGGGTTCTTAATTAGCAGAGCAGTTACTGCCTGTGCTTGGAATGTAGAGGATGAATCTTCACTGGTTTGTTAAAATGTTTCAGGAGTGTGAACTGGCACTGCTTTAATTACACAGCCAGACAGTTTTTCCCTGCAAAGGAATGGCCTTTATTGTTTAAAGAAAATTCCCTGCAGGACAGTACAGCTCACACAAGTGGAGTTTGGCCACACCCGTGCCTCTGCCTCTAGTGGTTGATTCTGCATCTTACAGTAAAAAATTATAATAAAAACTCAAGGAACAAGCTCGCTTCCATCCAAATCTGCCCATGGTCCTCCATCGGTGTTTGTGCAGTGTTCTCAAAGATTAGACTGTTCCCTTGTCAAGTCTGGTTGGAGTTATAAACCAGGGGGGGAGGCTGCTCCAAAATACCCAGGGCAGCATGTGTTGTGCATGCTGAAATACACGGAGGAAAGTAAAATTGAAACAGAAATGATGTTTTGCCTCAGTATAGCTTTATGCTTGATGTGAACTCTATTGGAGCTGGTGAATTCTCAAAGGTCAATACCTTTCTGTGAACTAACTTCTGCAGGCTGCTCAGTTTTGGTGAGTTGCGAAAGGAAGTGAAAACCAGCCTGTTTTGCTGAACCTCTTGGCATCTTCATGGTACATTGGGGTTCCCTTGAGTGGCTCGTTGGCTTCTTGCATGTGGTTTTGTTGTGTTTTTTAAAAAAAAAAAAACACACCAAAAAAAAACCAACCCAAAAGCATTTGCCCAGATGCTCAGCAGCACGTAGCTTCCTTGACCCGAGATGAAGGTGATGAGCCTGACCAGCATCACGTGTGAATGTGCTCCAGTGACAGGGACCTGTTCTCAGAAGATGCTGGCCTCAGCGTGTGGCTGTTGGGCGCTGTAAAAGCTCTGGGTTTGAGGCCGGGAAATAACCACCCCTCTCCTGCCTCATTGTCACAGGTTGTGGCTGCATCTCAGACCCACCAGGGCGGGTTTTGGAGCGCTGTGGTGCAGTTGGTCCTGATGTACCCATTCCAGGAGCCTCTGCAGCGCTGTAAGGGGGGGTCTCTGCCCTCTGAAAAGGCAGCCAGGGTTTTAACAGAGACTGGTAACTCTCAGATGCAGTGATGGGAGGACCCCAGGCACTGAGCAAGTGCTTGTCCCAGAGAACTCAAGCTTCTCAATCACTTGTGTAGGTCAGACTCTGCTTGTACAGGAATGGGGAAACACTGATTGAGTTCAAACCCAAGTTGTGAGCTTGATAGTACAAATAACAGGACCTGGCTAGGAATATATCTGCAGGGGCGCCTGTTTCAGATGTGAAGGGATTCTGTTGCAGCTGCTAATTTATTTTCAGGGCACGATTTGCCTCTCAAATCTGGAGTCTCATAGCATCCCCAATGCCCTCTGCTTGAGCTAGAGCACAGCACTTGGAAGAGCGGATCTTGGTGAGTTGTTCTCTTCCTTGCTATCAAGATTTGTTCTGTTCCTGGTCTGAAGGTGTCTAGCTTCAACAAATGTGAGCAACAGGTTCTATTCTAGAGCTGTCACTTTTTTGTACCTAACACCAATACTACTGTTTTGAAAGTGTCTCACAATACTATTCCTACAGTAGAATTTCTCCTGCGTTATTCTAGTTTGTTTTTCTGGGTTTTTTTTCCCCATTTTCCCAGTCCATACTGCAATAGTGCTGCAGGCTGAAGAGAAAAGCTCTTCTGTCCTGCTTGCTTCTGTGGCTGCCCTGCCTGAGCAATCCCTGCTTAAGCTGCAGGATGGAGATGCAGGCAGCTCAGAAGACACTTTCCTAGCATCCAAAACTTGCTATGACAAAACAAAAGTGTCTGAGACTTTGTAGTAACTCCAAACACCAGCGTGCCTCCCCATCCAGCTACCCCACACTCCTCAGGTCTGTCTCCTTCCCTAGCTGCTGGCATAAGCCACGTGGCACACAGGCCTCTTTATGTGCTGGCTGCTGCCGAGGCCACGGAGCTGGCCCGGGACCTGGAGCTCAGGGAGCGCGGGAGGGTGATGGTGCAGCATGAGACACCTACGGTGGCCTCGGGGAGCTCCTCATCCTCAGCCCACTCATTGAGGTCAGGGTTGTAGCACTGCACACATTTCTGATACCTCTTCCCGCTCTCGTTCCAGCCACCCACCAGGCACAAGCGCCCCTCGAGCAGAGCCACCCCAGCCGTGCTGACCCCTGTGGGCAGGGGTGCCACGTAACTCCACTGCCCCGTCAGTGGGCTGTAACACTCCACAGGCATCACGTCCACCCGCTCACCCTGGGGACCCAGCTGGCTGCCACCCAGCACATAGGCTCGGCCGGCCGCGGTGGCGGCGCAGTGCCAGCCCCGTGGGGTGCTGAGCCTCGCCTGCTCCCTCCAGGTGTCGGTGCTGGGCTCATAGCAGCAGACGGTGCGGGAATAGGCGTGGGTGATGTAGCCCCCGGTGACCAGGAGCTTGCCATCGATGACAGTGGTGGCATGGCAGCAGCGGGGCGTCTCCAGGCTCGCTTTGCTCTGCCAGCTGTTGGCAGTGGGGACGTAGCACTCGACAGACACCAACGCGCCCTCGGCGTTGCGCCCTCCGACGGCGTAGAGGAGCCCGTCGCAGGTGCTCAGGCTGAAGTGTGTCCTCCTGTGCTGCATGCTGGCCAGGTGCAGCCAGGTGTTGAAGCGTGGGTCGTACCTGGGAGACCAAGGGCAGATGTGTCTGTCCAGGACCAGCATCAGAGCCGTGGGGAGAAGAGGGGCCTGACAGACATCTGCCTTCAGAGGAGACAACTTGTGCTCTGAAAGAGCCTTACTGTCTTCTCCAGTAGTAAAAAAACATCTGGACAGGCAGCACAGATGGAGACGATGGCACTGCACAGGACTGGATCCTTCCTGCACCTGCTGGGGTTGTTGCTGTTCTAACCCTTGTGACAGCCCAGCATTGCTCCTGCTACCACAAGCTCCAGCTTGGCTTGGAAATGCTGAGTGTTACCGATCTGAGGTGTCCCCAAGCACTGTCACTGTCCCCTCTGTTGGGTCTTTGCAGGTAGAAAAGGACCTAAGGACAATTGGTCCCTGCCCACCCTGACAGACCAAAGCCAGGCACACGATAAGCAGATGGCAGAGGGAACTGGAACTGCTGTGGGGAGTGATGCCACGGGGACTCAGGCCAGGCTGGGAAAGGTGGATAAGCCAGAAATAGAAAGGAGACCTGCCAGTGGGTCCTGAAACCTCACTTGGTGCAGGAGAAAAAGCCCAGTGACAGATCCTAACCGAGAGGTGGTGACCAAGGGATGTGAAGGACTGGCCTCGAGCAGTGCCACTGCCTACGTTGGGTGTGGAACCTCAAGCAGCTGAGCCAAGACGTGGGCAGAACCACTGGGAAGTTTAGGTTTAGGCTGCAAACAAAATACTGCATGTCAAGTTGCCATGGTTACTCCTCCTTTCTTTGAATAGTAATCCCTTGGTGATCCAGTGACAGGTTTGTGGGGATTTAGGAAACAAACCTTGTCATTTAAATGATGAAGAGAGAAATGGAGGTGGAAAGAGAAAGCTTGAAGGGCAACAGGAATCCTACAGACAGTAAATCTTACTTAAAAGGAATTCCAGGAAACCAGAGGTTGGGTCAAGGCAGGAGGAACAGCCAGCGGACAAAAAGGGGAGCTCCACAGAGTAACAAAATGGACTACTGCTAAATAACGAGCCCTCCCATCTCTCCGGGGTCCTCACAGATACAAAGAGGCCCTGCCTTGCCCTCATCCTGCACTGGTGCTGTGTGCTGCTGGAGGACGTGGGCAGCACAGCCCCAGTGCCACAGTCCCCAGGGGAAGCCCAGGCCAGGCTCACGTAGAGTAAACACCTGGAAGTGGTTTGTAGGTCTGCTGTCCCACAGTGCAGCACCCTGTGCTGGGCCTCACTGCGTTTGTCCCTCCCTGGCAGCATTACCCCAGAGGCCAGACCCACCTCCTGGTTACTGAGAGCAAAGAACCTTCCTGACGCACTCATCCCTCGCCCCATGGGCAATGCTGGGGTGCAGGCAGACACGGCCCAGCTCTGAACCCCTCCCCAGGCTCTGCGTGGCCAGGTGGAGCCCATCTTACCTGCTCAGGCTGCTGACCGCATGCTTGGCCTGGTTCCTGGCATCATTTTGGTCTTCACCACCTGCAATATAGATGAATCCATCCATCACCACCACGCACTGGTTAAAACTTTTTGCTGGCATCTCCGTCAGCTTGTTCCAGTTTCCCTCTGCATCCCTGTAGCTGATCTCCCTACTAAGAGCCTTCTCGGTCAAAGCTGGACGACCCCCAACTGTGACAAGAACCCTCTGGCCTCCCCGTATCCTTGTTCTCCGAGACTGAAGACTGTTCTGCTGGTGGGGGAGCAGGTGGTAATTCATAGCATCCACGAGGAGCTTGTGGCACTGCGGGTCTTGCATCATGCGTGGCACAGGTTGCACATGGTTGACCAAGTCTGGAGCTGAGATTGTGCCGAATCGAATGTTGCTCAGGAGGTCAGCAGCATACCGGACCCGTTTCGGGTCAAACTCCAGCCACTTGACGGCGATCTGGAAAGCTGCAACCTCGCTGGGTATCTGCAGGCCATCATCCATCAGCAGCTCATTGATCTGATCGAAAGGGAGTTTCATGAACTGGTCGGTTTTGGAGAACTCCAGAAAGTTTTCCCGGATGAATTTCCATGTGGCATCTTTCACCTGGTTGAGGCCGTAGGTGGACGAGATGTTGGCGATGTACACGCAGTTCTCCACGGCCATCTCCCGAACAAGGAAGTCGCTGCACAGGTTCAGCAGTGCTGGCACCTGCAGCTGGGTGGCCGCGGCGATGGTGCTGCCGATGGTGTACAGCGAGAGGCTCAGCTTCCCCGTGTAGGCGTAGGTGATGATGGTGGTCAGGCCCAGCGGGGAGATGTCGTGGAGCTCCACCCGGTGCAGCTGAGGGTCTCTCTGCAGCAGGCGGTGGAAGTACTCACTGCAGGAAGCCAGGACAAGTTTATGCACCTCGAAGGACTTTGTT